AACAATTTGGTTCCCTTTCATGACATGCACAACTGGTCACTAGAGGCTGCTTCCTTATCCTGCTGAGTGGCAGGACCAACTCTGGCTAGTACAGATCTATTGTTTCACCATCTTTTAAGAGAAAAGATGAACCTGAACCTAAATGTCACAGGTATGTGATGACAGATCTTACATTCTATCAGAAATTTTATCTTGCATTTTTAATTAGTTGCCATTATTCTGTTAAGTTTTGAAAGCCAGTTGTTCTAACCAAATAAATGTTAGATGATAATAGAGATATAATAGGAATACTTAATAGCAAAATGGCATGCTGTAAAAGTGTGGAAGGCAACATTCTACAGACTCATGAACAATCCCTACAATGGTTGTTGTGGGTTTTTCAGGCTCTTTGGCCGTGTTCTGAAGGTTGGTCTTCCTAACATTTCGCCAGTCTCTGTGGCCGGCATCTTCAGAGTTGTCCAGTATTTCAGTATTTTGAAATAGAATTTCATGTCCAGCTTGTTTTAGGGCATGTTCAGCTACACCACTTGCAGTTGTGGCCAGGTATATATTGGTACCACAAAATGAAGCATCCACACCAGAATCAAAGAACATGAGAGACACTGCAGACTAAAACAACTGGAAAAATTGGCAGTAGCTGACAATGCCCTAAAACAAACTGGACATGAAACTCTATTTCAAAATATTGAAATACTGGACAACACCAGCAATCATTATGTTAGACTGCACAGGGAAGCGATTGAAATCCACAAACACCAGCAGAGCTTCAACAAAAAAGAAAGTTTAAAGTTCAACAAAGCTGGGCTCCCAGCATTGAAAAATACAGCCTGCAAAAGGTCAACGAACTTTACCCAACCACAAGGACCAGTGATCACTACACACAAAAGACCAGCTAATGACACCCATCAATCACAGTGACAGATAATCTCTCCTCCTTATCACAACAATACACCCACAACAAAAATACACTGATCACCATAATCACCCATCGCCTGAAAAGGAAAAAAGCTGATCCTACAGCTATAAATACTCAACTCCCAAACAAATTGCACCAGAGCACAGAGTGCTACTCCTGTCCTCTGAAGATGCCGGCCACAGAGACTGGTGAAACGTTAGGAAGAACAACCTTCAGAACACAACCAAAGAGCTCGAAAAACCCACAACAATCATTAGATCCCAGCTGTGAAAGCCTTCGCAAATACATTAAATCCTTACAATAACTTTACATATATTAATAACATGCCAATAAGT